ATTTTTGTTTTATATATATATATATATATAGGTTTAAAAAATTTTTTCCATACACAATCTAAGTAAATTAAATAAGAACGTAATGATATTAATAATTTGTAGATTCTAACACATTTCTTATATATTTGTAAATTTTAAAGTTATTCTGTGAAGATAAAGCTAATAAAGCTTAAGTTTTAAATTAAATTTGAAAAAAAATATATAACTGATGTGCATAAGGTTAAAGAGAGATTCTAATATAACGAAATAAAGAATTATGTCTTTATTTATTACCAGATAGTCCTGCTGTAGAATTTTATTTACAATATATTGACATTCTCAGATATATCGTGAGCCCAGTCATATATAATGTCCAAAAAGTTCCCACTTTCACATAAGTCAGAAAAAGATTTGCACATTACATAAACTTTAAACATCTTTAATTTAATTACTTATTCTATCATTATATATCTCAAACTTGTTATCGCTTTTCGTATTTTATGCGATATAGCATAAAATTATACAGTATAGATCATCCGACGTATGAAAAGAAGGCAATATTGTAACTATGAATATGTAAATTTGTGCAGTCAGTTCCGCCGTTTCCAACGATTTAACAATAACGTACCGCCGATCGAAGGAAATCGAGCTTTTGTCAATGATTTTGCTATCTAGTATTAGAAATATAATCTAAAAGAGAAAATTGCTGGTTTTAATGATACAGTTTATGTCATTTTTTACAAAGTTGGAAAAATATGTTCAATTTAATTCCCCCGATGCGGTATCAGACACGAATTTCTCTATAATCCTCATTACACGCAGTACGCAATTAATGCATTACATTCACACGTCAGAAAGTCTATTAGTTAGCCGGAATAAATTATCAAGTGGAAAACGGAGGCATAGTTTACAAGATAAACATTCTTTCTTTGTTGTTATGAGGTAAGATGTAGAACTTTCGAAATTTGATTTTAAATGAGTGCTAATCACGCACTCTCGATGAGCAAAAATTTATGCTAAATTATCGAAGACACTGTTCGATGAGGAGAGTTCCTCTTCATCAAGTAAGATCGATCGTTTCTATTGGTCACCTTAATTAGAGTCAGGATTAATTTTATTTTTTCTTGGCCTCTTCTTCTACTGTCTCGTTCTGCTTGCGGAAGCAGTCGCCCACCGGGAAGAAGTCCCAACACCTTTGTTGATACATATTCCACACGTAAGTCTCCTGACCAGTGTATTCGGTGTCTGGTTTGTTAATCAAGTGCATAAGGAAGAACCTATTGTGGTTTAAAATTATATAGAAATTGATAATAAAAAGTTTTTTCTGATATCTCATTGTAAAATTAAAAGCATAAAATATTTATAAAATATTTATAAATATTTACATGTAATTTGCTAAATTATGCTCTTGTTGCACATGAGTATCAAACCCATGCGGTACTGCGTCGAAATATTCCTTTCCTAAACCGCAAATGAAGCAGTTACTCTCCATATTTGTCTTTACATTATCGAGTTGGTCTCGAAGTTCGCCGAACGCATCGATGATCAAACCTAAGGATCAATCGCGATGTAATATTGTTTTTTTTTTCTACTGCAATCGAAGATCAATCGATTATACTCACCCTGAATGATAGCCAACAGAATAACGATCACGAAGAAGAAGAACGTAATGTCGAACATTATACGATAAACCTCGTAATCGTCTCCATCAGGTTCACCAATTTCATCGCCTATTCCACCGCCGGCTCTTACGCCTTTGTACAAATGGAAAACGAAACACTGAAAGTAAATAAAGAAGTGTATCAACAGTTTCAAATTAAAATAATGCAAAGTTTATAGATGAAATACATTATAATTAAAAAAAGATTTTTTTTTATGTATTTCTGTATAACATACTGTTAGCATATGATGACATTTCTTGTCTGTTTCATCGTCTTCCTCCTGTATATAGAACTTTCTAAAGAAATTGAAGGCTATCACAGTGTAAATGTATACTACGATCGTCAATAGCATCACTGTTAAGACCAACTGCTTGCCGTTATGTGTTACCGATTGTAAGATTGTTCGTAAAGTTTTGAAACCGACCGCGACGTCTAACAAATGAGCGGCGAAGAAGAAATTGTTGTAGTTGCCGAGGATTGAAAATGTAAAGTACCACAAACTGTACAAAAAAGCCTAGAAATCAAATATGCACATATAAGTATTTAATTTAAATAATTTACATATAAAATACATGAATTAATCTCGCTGAAAATTTACTTGAAAGAACTTACGTTATCGGTGATCGTGACTCCGGCCTTCCATATTTGATATCTCCAGTCGATATTTACAATGCTATAAAAAATTACTTTTTACATTAAAGAATCTCACGGAAAGACTTGAGACATAATATCTACTTACAAATGTATTAAGCCAGATCCTTCTTCTTCCTGCTGGCTGAAAGAAGTCTTTTCCATTCCGAGCAAATTGCTGATGTAATCGAAATCATACGTCTCGCTGTATTTTTGTCGGACTTTCTTCTTTACAAATTTGTCCCAATAATTAACGGGGAAAGTCTTCGCTGATATTACCATTTTATCCCAGTGCGCTTTAATGTCATCTTCTTCTGGTGTTTCGGCTATGTATAATCCATCGAATTCTACTCGTCGTGCAATTTCCTTCTCTCGTTTAAATATAGCCAATGGTACCTGAAAAAATATAAATATTTTGTAAATTATTTCATTGTTTAAATTACGATAATTATATGAATACATATCATTGAATTTATTAAAATATTTTGTCAATAGAAAACATTATAGAAAAAAAATGTTCAAGATTGTTCATTATTGTGTAGTTATTGTTATTATAATTTCAAATACCTTTAAATGATAATATGCGACGAGCATAGCGAGTGAAACGATTGAATGAAGAGCAGCCAGTAATCTCATGACGTGAGCCATATAATAATAATCCTCAGACACTTCTACAAATTCCTGAACCTCTTCGTCTTCCTCTTCTGAACCGTTTTCACCACTACCGCTGCCTATTTCCATGCCACTACCTGCCAAACCCGATGTCCCCTCGCCTGATATTTCCGTTAACAAATCCGCTATTTGTCCACTACCTTCTTCGTCCGAGTCATCAGCCAAAGATGAAACCTAGATTTAAAATTAATGTACATGAAAAACCGATATACATGCAAAACTTGAATTTATAGAGAATCTTAGATTTTTATACTTAATTTATTAATTTATGTGTTTGCACAGAAAAAAAAATCATAATAGAAAATGTTGATAAACCTTATAGAATAGTAGCATAAAGTTGATACAAAAGGCGAGAACTAGCGCGACGTATTTCAGATTGTAGAAATTCCTGGCCAAAAAGGATACTATACGATGACTGTATTCGGACAGATCGATACTCGATCCTGTGGAAGGTTCGACTGAAATTTCTTGCTTTGCTTCGGCTTCAACTGCTGCCATGGCTGCTTGTTGCGCCGCCGCTGCTTCTGCCGCTGCGGCAGCTTGCGCTCTGGCTTGTTCTCCGCTAAACAAATATTGTAACAAAGCATTTAATTCACAAAAAAAATTTACAAACAATTTATTAATTAATTATTATTTAAATTGAATTAATACAGTACAGTAAAATGAAAATATTCTATTTTAAAAAAGGAAGATAAAATAACACTAATATGTAATTTATGCTAAAATAGAACTATTACACATATATAATAATAATAATAATACTAATATATAAATGATTGTTATAAATAAGGAAAGTATGCATTTTTCAATTTGTTTTAAGCAGTTATGATTTTTTGAGATATCGTAATTTAAAGATATATTGATATCTGCTGCAAGGATGCTAATCGTTTCGGAGTAAAATTAATTATATTTTTGTAATTAACTGATGATATCTCACGATCTGATTATCTTAGGTACATGATTCTGCGGTCATTAGAAGCGCTAAAGTTTCAGCTTTCCAAGATGACCAAGATCATCTCGCTACGATTTTTCTATGCGAAAATATTGTCGATTATATCGACCTGTGATCCTAATAGGTGAGGCCGCTGACATGAGCCTCACTCATGCCTTCGCATTGCGAAACACGTGTCAAACGATTACTATTGGTCAGCTGATCAGCTGACCGTAGTAGTAGTATAGTAACGTAGTAGCATAAGCGTCATATGCACGTGACACACAAGCGCACGCCGCACTTATTCAACAATTCGTACGCGCCCGCCGAATTTTCGAAGCGTTATAACTCAATAGAAAATTATCGTAGCGACATGCGGCGTATTTTCTTCGTTTCACGAGAATCTGCAAATACGTAAAACTTTGGCCCAATGTCGAAACATCATGATTGTCAAAATCTGGACATCAGACGTCTTAAAAATGTCTTAAAAATATTTTGAGACATCTTATATTCTGATTTTAGATGTGCGTACTATCTAGGCATTCCTTTTTAATTTGTATTAAAGTTTTCCATTTTGCAGCACATTTTGTACCATGACAAATAAACTTAAATTTAATAACGTTAAAAATAAAACCGTTAAAAATAAAATTATAAAATAACTTAACTATAATTTTATAGATCATTTAATTATTTTTCATTATAATAGACTATTATATTTATACTAACCCAAGTAAATCAGCTAAAGTAACAGGCGGCTCGCTTTCTCCTCCTTCAGCTCTCGCTCCATCCTCGCCAGTACCCTCTTCGGGTGTACTCTCACCTGTTTCTTCGATACTGGATTGCGGTGTAGAAGTAGTCGATTCGTGCGGCGCTAATTTTATTTGCCCTCCTTCTTCTTTCGTTATATCCATTCCAAAGGCTTGCACCTATATATGCGAATTTGTTAAATAATATTTCTTAGTGTTGTATTAACATAATTTATTGAGAAAGTTTTACTTGTAAATTCGATTCATCCGGCGTCGGTGGTAAAGCAGGTAAATGTCTCGATGGTTTCTCTTCCTCCTCCTTGATTACAACAGGCTCCTCCACATGCGGTCCTCTCATTAATGTCAATAGAAGTCTCATGAAATACTTGATCACACAGCCAACACCGAAACCAGAATAATAGAAGGCGTAGAAAATCATCTTGAAGAAACCAATGAAAAGCTCGGGTATCGTCATCTGTTGCATTTCAGCAATCTTGTTCTTAATATTGGTAGGCGAGAACATATAAAAGAAGAAGTAAACACCATCTTTGATGGCTTGTATACCACGCCTGATTGGATCTTTATTTCTTTCTTCATCATCCTCGGTCATATACGTGTACGACGATTCCCTCGCTTTGCCGATTCCGCCGCTTTCCTCTACGGTCATCAACGCACTCGCGTGTTGCATTTCAAAAATAGCATCTTCGCAAAAGTTGATGAAGGTTTCGAGTTTCTCTTTCTCACCAGCCTCAACTACCGTGTTATAGAAGTAGGTCTTTTTCGATTCCTTAATTTGCGGCTTCTCCCACTGTTCGATGTTCGACTCTTTGATCTCGAAGTACACACGCTCAATTTTCTTGTTACCACCGAGGATCTCGATTCTGCCTAAGAATGGCTCGAAGTAATTTAGAACAGAGCCAGCTGTCTCAAGGAACCTGGCTAGTCTCGGTTCGTTAGGCATGTGTTCGGACAAATTGGTGAGTAATACAGCCAGATTGAAACCGATTTCCTTCGACGGCTCATGGAAACGATCCATGAAAGTAACATAATCGATCTTGCCGTCGTGATTCGTCTCGCAACAGGCCAGGAGAAATTCAATTTCCTCGCTGAAAACATTTGAAAAATAAATAAATTTAGATTTCTTTAAATCTTAAATTTTAGATATAAAGTAATTTAATTCGAAAAATATTAGATGATAGGTAATTTTACAAGCGTAATACCTGGTATAACTCTTCTGTTGTTCCATCTTCTCTTTGAAATCCTTAGGGTACACCCAACCGTCATTGTTAAGATCGACTTCTAAGAAACTCGGCGATGATACAAGATCCTTTAGTTTCAAGAACATGTCAAAGTACTTTAAAATCAGTTCTACATTACTAGCCGATTCGACCAAAGTGTCTACCATCTGTTTTCCAATTGTCCCGTTCACAACATTACCTTTAAATTACATGAATATTGATTACTTTATTCATTTTTTTTAACAAAATTGAAAAGAAATATATACCTTCAAGCATGGAAAGCATCATGGTAATCATGTCTTTTTGCAAGTTAAGCAATTCTTTCAGAAGATCCACCTGACTGGAGTGCTTCGATAGTTTGTCTTGCATATGCGAAAATAAAAAAAGAAAACCTCCGACTGCGTCCCACAATCTTGAATGCGCTAAAGCTTGTTGATTCTGTGCGCATGGACCTTGAATAACCTCAGTGAGAGTATTAAAAACTTGACTAGCAACTCCAATAGCTTTGAAAAAATTTGCTTTGCCGGCAGGGTCGATGAGTTCCTTGCTCGAGTAATGCCAGTAAAAGTCCATGATCGATTCCTGCAATCGCAGTAGGTAATCGACGGTGCAAATGACCACATTCACCGTCGTCGTATTACCAGCCTGTGTCCTAAGATAGTTCTGCCAATCTATTGAACATAGAATAAACGTCATTTGATCGAATTACTTTCAATAGTGTATATAGTGATAATGTTCCGTTGAACACAATTAGTTACATTACATCAATATTATAATTTCCTGAACAATATAATTGTTATATGTATAATTGTTATATGTATTAATTACATTTATGTTGTTGAATGAGAAATTATATTATTGACGTAATGTTATTGTTAATTGATGTTCAGCGGAGTAATACTTGCCGAGATTGTGACCCTCGCAGGTGAGTTGGATAAAGCGGAATAAGGCGCAAGTGAATTCGGCGTCGTGCATATTCTTCTCACCAGCTGCACCCTCGGAACCAACACCGAGACCCTCAGCTTTCGTATTCCTTTCGAAAGCGTCCAGATCCAGCACGCTGCAAGAGTTCATTAAACCTGCAATGGACGTGAAGAAACCGACGTCCTTTTTCTCCTTCAGATGATTCAGCATTCCTCGCTGAATTTCGATATTACCGCCACGCAGGATCGAAATTCCAAGCTCTAAAGTCTTCATCACCATCTCGCTGGGAATGCCCTTACACGCTGATATATGCAAAAGGACCATTTCGGCGACGCCGCGATTTGCTAATCGAGCTTGATGGAACAAGAGTTTTTGTTTCTCCATTTCTTGCTCCTATAATTACAGAACATATGATAAAATATTATATAAAAATAAAATCACTTTCATGTACATAAATTTGATAAATATACATACACATTATACATTACTTTTAACCAAGCATATAATAATTTATAATAAAAAATATATTTAATATTAAACTTCTCTAATTAAAAATTTTATATAATTATTTTATATTTGTTAGTAAGATCTAACATTATTTTATATTAAAAAATGTTCATTAAATAATGGAATATCTTACCATTAATTTATGCATTGGCCTCTTGAGAATTACGTTAAAAGAAAAATGTGCACAATTTAATTATATTGTTAGTAATAGATTGATGAGAGGAAGACAAATCTTGATAGCTTACGATGTTTTGCTTACTCATGAATGATATTATACATATCGCTTTGAATGAATAAAACAATATATAATTCAACAAATTCGGGTGTTATAATATGGAAAACTCATATGGTTAATACTTTGGACTGCATATATTAAGCGGATGAATTCTCGCACTAACTACTTATTCTTACCGTAAATAGTTTATGTCTCCGCTTTTAGTAAGTTAGAAAAAAATAGGGAATTTATTAATGCGGTAGACTGATTTAGTGGGAATTTAAAGAATTCTATTTTCTTACTTGAGAGAGAATTGTATCTATTATATCAGACGAGAACTTATCAATCAAAGATGCTTACATGGATCGAAGCTCCTCCTTCTTCTTCACCTCCACCTTCTTCTTCACCCTCTTCCTCTTCCTCTCCGCATGATTTTGAGATAATTTGAGCATAACTCATGTAAAGCGGATCTTCTTGAAGAGCGCCTGATCGTTCAGTCATAGCACCACGACAGAATGTTGTCACCAATTGTGTCAACGGATCGGGCTTGCCTTCGTCCTCAGCCTTATCCATTTTCTTCAATTCAGCATCCTCGAACGATTGCTGAAAGAAAAAATATAATATTAATATTATTGTTAATTTTATGTTAAATTATCTACATTTCAATCAGCTTAATCCACAAACAAAGAGAAGTCTGTGGTTTAATCCTTAATACATTCGATACTTTTTTGGGTCTTTCGTATTCCGGGTTAATTTCTGTCATTTTTAAAAGTACGTAAAAAATATTAAGTATAATCTTACATATACTTTAACATCTTTAGAAAATATTTGTAAAATTGTATTTTTAAAAAAGGAAAGAATACTTTTATTTAAGGTGCTCCCAGTATTTCCCAGTATTTTCAAAGAAAAGAAATGCGCAGGATACGAATGACTGAATCATGTGTACTAAGGGTTCAATAATATAGGTCGCCATTACCGTAAGATCCTCGATCATAACTTCTTGACCCACATTTTCATCTTGTAACCACAGCTCGTAATACGTTCGTGCAAAAATATTTATCGCTCGATGTCTAAAAGAATAAATTTATATAATTAAAATATTATTTAAAGAAACAGTAGAAATTAATTTGCGTTAATCATACCTTCTCAATTTATATAGAGGTTCACTACGCAAACATGCAATCGCCGCTCTTTTTCTAGCAGCGCACAACACGCGTTTCCATCCATCTCGCGATGGCGGCGGCTTTGTCGCCTGTTAGCGTGCAGGTAAACAGCAAGCGCTCATTAAATCATTAACAATCACTTTCATTAATTATTGCAGTTAATTATTGCAGTTACATAATATTATAACACTCAAAACTGATCAATTCTTATTGCCTAATTATTTCTCTCTCCGATTAACAAATAGCAAAGTAGCTAATAAATTCTACATAAATCAGTAACACAAAACACACCGCTGACATTCAATTTAACTTAAAATAAAAATGTGGTGACTAAAAAAATTAATAATGTTGTGAAATCACAAATGAAGAGAAAACATAACTAAATAACAAGAAGGATACCTTGGCAAGGAATGTAGGGAAGTTTGGCGGAAGCAAGCGATTACCGCTCGTTTACGCTGGATCGACACCACTGAACGATATTGACTCTTGCTCTGCTGTTGTGGATGATCTATCTACTCGAGAACAAAAGTACGGAATGAATACGATGAATACTTCGGCGCGACTTAAAGAAACAGAAAAATGATGATATGATAAACTGATTTCCAAAAGTAGCGTTTGCATTTCCAGTGTTCACGAAAACATTGATATCAATAGCAAATTAAAAAAAAAGTTACAAAGCTTCGAAGATTTTTCCTTAAGTACTGTGAATATCCACAAAAGTTTGAAAATTACTATTAGCTATATAATAATGTTAAACAGCTTCATAACTAACCATATGTAAACCATACAAAACTTTGGCCATGTCGGTAATTCTAGCAACGACATCTTCCAGCTGCTGAGCTTTTACAGGCTCCATTGCATCTTTCTTCTGACCTAATTGAGAGTATAGATAATGTTGCCAAGACATTTCGTCAGCAGGATCGATCTTATCTGGCAGTGTCAATTGAGTCTTGGCAAATTCCGAGATATCAGATTCCGGCATCTTTTTCAGAAATCTATCTTTGCAATGCTGCACTAATTCTTGTTCGCGACCAGCAAAGAGATTTAAGCCGACAGGTAGCAATCTTTTCAAGCAAGCAACCATCAAGGATGCTTGTACTTCTTTGTCCTTGTCTCTCTTCTTGTCGCGATGCTTTTTCTTTTTCTAAATACGAAAGAGATACTTAATTATTTGATCTTTTGATTCTTGAATTAAACGTAGATTAGCAAAATCAAATAGGGAAACAAGTTGCCGTTATTTGTCGTCTTTAACGTTCATTTTAATGTAAAGAAAACGATAAATAACGTTAGCTTGTTTTTGCTGAAAAATAATAAAATAACTACGAACTTTGCCTCCTCCGGAAGGTGCGGTGCCATCAGACACTGTAGCAGGTCTTCTTGTTGCAGTGGGCATGATGAGCACCATGTTATCAATTTCATTCGCTGATATAAAATTCTGTTCTTCGCGTAAGAAGTACTGTGACTTGGACCAGATATTAAATATAGCTGCTACGTGATTGTATAAATCTTCGGCTTCGGAAATATTGTTCCTCAGCCATTGATTCCTTTGAAGATCGACGTACTTTATTAATAGGGGATAGAATGAGTAGATATCACGCACAAGTAATTGCCAATCTTCTTGAATCTGCGCCTCAACTTGCGAGGTATCGTCAGTCGAAGATTTAATAAAACCCCGAAGAGATTCCTCCTTGTGGAACATAGTGTCTGTTCGTTTTCTGACGCGTTCGGCGAGAGGTAAAAATGGATCCTTTAATAACTCCTCAGACGAATTGATAATGATTTGCTGCGTATAGGCCGCAATGCGCGTCATCCACGGTGCGTTTTCATTACCGATGTTCTTCTTGATCAACTTCAACACGTTTTTCAGCAACTGATTCATGTGATCGCTCGTTACCATGCTGACGTAGGTACTTTCAGTCGGACTCACATTGTCAGGCCCTTGCGCCCACCAGAATGGTAAATAAGAGCAGAGCAAAGGTAGAATTACATCAACGACGTGAGGAGCATCATTGTAGGTCTTCTCGGATTCGACGAACTGATCGACCTCATTAAGGATGGTCTCCAACGTTGGCATACTCGATTCCATCTTTGTCATAATATCTTGAGCTTCTAGAGAATGATCTGCGATTCGATTTAGAAGGGAATACTGATTGTGCTTGTTCAAATGAGGCTCTAAGAAGGCCACTGGGAAGCAACTTGAAAAGGCACCCAAGCAGGAGCCTAGATTAGGTTTATGTCGCTCGATCTCAGTCTTGAGGTATTTTCTGTCGTGCGTTAAACTAGCGTCTATTCCAAGAGTGTACAAAGACGCTAACATTTTGTATGATGCTACTTGAATTTCGTCAACTACGTAAAACGAAGAATATGAGTAAATTAATGCTCAAATTGTATTGATTATTAATTAATTAAATTAATAATATTAATAGTAATTAAATTAAAATAATTAATTATTTTTAGAGTTAGAAAAAGTAATGAAGTGTTATTTTCTAACAGTAACACATTACTTTTTAAAACTAGTAACAATAACAAATTTTTACAAAAAAATGATAATATAAATAGATAAAGTATTATTTTCAATAACATTTGAAATAATATTTGAAATAACATTCCCAACGCTGAACTTATTTTAATTTTATTAATTTTGTAAATACTTACGTAACAAGTCACTGCCATACTCGCATGCGGCAAGATGGTCAAACATCGCAGTGAGCACCGGTAGAACCACACTATTGATATACGATAATGACGTGGAGGTTTTCAAATGAGTGCCTCTGAGATGACTATACTTCCCTTCTTGGAGGTTCAAAATCGTGTGACCCAGATCATCGGCGGTATTGTTAAAGAAAGTCAACATGGACGTTCGGATAAACTCAGGACAGTTCTTTACGAGACTCTTAGCATCTATACCTTTTACTAGTACTTGCAGGCAACGAACCGTTATTCTCACATCTGCGCCAAAAGCGGCGAGTCTCGATCTTAGCAAACTTGCTAACTTGCAGAAAAGAGCAGCTACCATCTCCTTCTCTTTCAATGACGCTGCACCGACATTGTTCGTGGCAGTAGCTACAGCAATAAAGTAGTTTCTATGCGTGCTAAAGTACTTTTCCATTAGTGGTAGGACCACTTTACTGAAGAATTTGATGTCTCTTGTCGAGGTCTTAAAACTGTTTCTTCGACTGAACGTATCGGAGGGTTTCAAGAGCTTCATATTGATCGTCGCCTTGTCCAAATAAGCTATCAATTTCTCTAATAATGAATAAGCAAATCTTAATTCTACCGCAGCAATTGCACCAGCCACTTCGGTCTCTGTGCCGCCGCGATTAGGTTTGTGAAGCTTGTACCCTTGATACTGTAAATATTTGAGAAACTCTTGCGATCGTTCACGATCTTTTCGTTTCTCCTTGTCAGTTAACAGATCGTAAGGTACCAACTGAGGATGAATGCCACCTCCTGTAATCATAAGATATTATGAAAAAATTATTTAATATATAAATTAAATTTTAACCCAACAAACATTAATTAATATTAACGTTAATTATAATTTCCTACTCAACAATATAACTGTAATTTAATAGATGTATTATATTATAGTTATATTATTGAATGGAAAATTTTAACTAATAGTTATATCAATAGTTGGGAATACGGGAAGAGAGAGAGAGAGAGAGAGAGAGAGAGAGAGAGAGAGAGAGAGAGAGAGACAAGAGATAAAAATTGAGATTAGATCATATTTAATTTATGCTAACCGCAGGTAGTAAGTTCTTCTTTCTTTTTCTTTGCCCAAATATCATGAGCATTATCTGCTAAACGTTCAGCCATGTTCTGCATTTCTCTGCTTAGCGTCAGATTAGTCATGTCTACTGGATGAGGATTGTAATTAAACGGATTAGCCGAGTCCCCCTAACATATTTGAAAATATGTATATATATATATATATTTCTTTTATAGTTATAATAAATTTTGCAAATAATTTCTTACTTGACTCTTAGAAGATCTTCTCATCGAACTACGATTGGTCGACGGTACATCGACCTCTGCATGCTCCACACTCCAGCCAATTGCTAGGAGAGCTTTCAAACTCTCTCTGACGGGTTCTTTGTATCGCTCTCGTTCGTAATCACTCAACATATTATATGGTTTTAATCTCGGATGAGTTTTATTCACGTCCGACCATTGTTCTCCATAAGTCCAACCGTTCTCTAACTTACGACTAGCCCAAGCATCGTGATAATGTTCAGAGAATTTTTGTACTATTTGATTAAGATCGTTATTGAGCACCACGCTAAAAGAAGATTGTAAAGAAGATATTAAAATGTTAAAATATTCAAAATCATATATATCTTCCATATCTTACAATTATCAAATTATTAAAAATTTTCAAATTATTTATGATTGCTATAATAATTAAAATTTTATTTATGATTTCTATAATAATTTCTTAATAATAAGAATTAACCTGGAAGTGTTGATTGGCTGCGGATTGTAAGGACCGTCGGGTGATTGAGTCGAGGCTGATTTGCTGCCGTACCATTCGTCATCGTAATTTTTCGATAGAGAATAATCTGGCGGCAGAGCGCAACCGATGGCTGTCAGGCAAGGCAGCGCTTTTCCGAATAATTCTGGATCGTAATCCATCTTAGACAGGGAGTCGAATATATTGCTAAAGAGGACCATCGTGAGACGTTTCTCTTCATCGCTTGACGCACCATAAGCTCCTTGACCGGTGGAGCCGGTGGAACCATAATATTTCGCGCAGCGATCGTAATGCAGCGTTAACAACTAATAACATAAAAATTAAATTATGCAGTAGTAAAGTTAACAATAGAGATTCTGCTTAACAAAATTTACTTTTGTAAACAAAATTTTACAGTTGTTAATTTTTAATAATTATTTAGATTGAACAAAAAATAAATAAATTGTAAATAAAGGTAACAACAATTGACGTACTCTGAGAGCTACTGTAGTATACTCTGATAATTTAGACACATCGACAGTCAGCTTTCGTAACAACTTCAACAACATGCTCGGCTGCATTTGGCTGCAAAGAAAAATTATCGAGTTAATTCTTAGAACATAATTCATAAATTTGTGAAGACTATATCAACTAAGATAGAAAGCCCTTATTCTTAATCTTAATTATTTTTAAATAATAGAATTGAAATTTACAAAACAAATGAAAATTTTTCTCTTAGAACAAAAGAATTCGATAGTTAAAAAGTTTTTGTTTACCTAGTCAATGCAACAAGGAAATCCGAGACAGCTTCGCGTTGACCCTTCGTCAACATCCGGTTCTTACTAAGTCGGTATACCGTGTGCAATGTGGCGTCGAGTAAACTCGCGTAATTATCTGCCTCGTTGTAAAATTTGGAATGCTTAATTAACAACGGCAAAATACTGTTTCCTATGTAACGATTCATAGCGAGCGACATTTCGGATTCGTAGCCGTCGTTCTGCAAAACGAAAAATTAAATCAGACAATATAAAAATGTTTCAATTTGCGATTTTTAAAAATTTATTACCTTTCAAATTATAAAAAGAAATCAAATTATAAAAAAAAGAAATTTCCGAATAATAAAATTTGAATGATTTTCGCGAGGTATATAAACATCAATGTGATTCGTACTCTGTCGAGCATGGTGGCGGCGCGAAGATCCGGCAAGAAAGCTTCCTCCAACAATTTGTAGAACAACTCTTGCGTTTCGATACCGTAAACACGTTCGAGAAACAGCACAATACTTTGTTTGTGCCCTGGTATTAAACCAGACGGTGTATCGCTTTTCGGTCGTTCCTCGCCGGCGGCGGGATTGAGCAGAGTGAACCGCAAAGATAGTACACCCTGAAGATCGTCCAAGGGTACTAACGATCTTAAGATCGCTCGGGCTCTCAGAGATTCGTTCTTCCCTGAAATAATTGCAGGACTTTAAACAAACGGGCATTGTTTATGATACTAATAGTCTATTAAAGCAAAATTTCGTTTCATATATTACCAACGGATTTTGTGAAGGCCTCTGTTGGTCATTAAGAAAGAAATAAACGATTTTTATTAGATAATTCATTGTCGTTCGCATGTAGTGAAGTTTTCGAGCTATTTTATACAATGCAATATATGATAGTATGATTATTCTTAATACTTTCTTAATAATTTCTCTAAAATCTTTTTTTTTTTTTTGTTTAGATTTCTACACGGGAGAGAATTTTGTTTTAAAATTTACTCCGAAAATATGGTAGTTGTATAATACATAAAAGATTTTAAAGATTTTTACCATGCATTTCAGTAAAAGTATTCAAACTTATTTTATATTTTATTGTAGTTTTATTAATGAATAAGGAAGATTTATATTTAAAATTCTTGAAAATATAATATTGTCCCATGACTATCATATTTTCAGGTAAACTTTAAGAAAAAATTCCCTCCATGTATAAAAAATCCTGTAATGTTGTTTCAAATACTATTTCTGCCAATGATTTAAATTTAAAGGATATTATATATTATTAAAAATCATTTTATATTAATTGCTTATACTTTTTTACATTTTACATTCAGTTATTTCAGTTATTTTAAATAGCAGGCATAAAAATTATATATAAAATCAATCAATTTAAAATGTAACTATTTTTGTGAATTTTGTAAAAGACGATGTTAACTCTGGCTTAATTCTTTTAATTCATTTTCTTACCTTGTTCTATAACGGAAGAATCTGGAGCACAGCGGCCTAACAAATCGACGAGAGTGCAATAGAAATTTAATATCGCCGCACCAGTGTCAATGTAGTCTTCATCCTCATCTGATTCCGGTAGTGGATGTTCGAATTGCATCATCATAGTCGTGCCCTCGGCCTCGTCGTGCACCTGTGCGAGGTACTAAGTTGATACCAAATTAATGGAAGGTCGGGTACATGCTTACGGAGAATTCATTTTAATATTGTCGCACAGTCATATTTTATGCCTTATATTTAGCGAACTTGTTTTGGAAATAAAAAAAATCATGTGGATTATGAGAAATTAAGTTCATATTAATTCCAAGGAAATTTCGATAGCATATCAAAATGCAATAAATATAAATAAAATCACACGAATTCTAAGAATTAGAAAGAAAGAAGGACTAAGTAAAAATGATCGAAATAAAGAAATTAGGGGAATATTATCTATATACAAAATATATAGATATATTTATTCGGTATTTCTAGGGACTAATTCACACAGAATTGACAATACACACTAGATCTTTTTTAAAAATAACAATCAAAAGAAAAAATAATTTCTTACTTACAAAATAGTTCGCTTATAGTTAGCTAAATAAAATAGGGAGATAGCTTACTTTTCGTCTATCGGCAATACGCTCAGACATTTTGTTAGCTTCTATAATGGCTCTCAATAAACCTTCACCTTCGCCTCGAAGAGCTGGGCCTAAGCATTCTGGTCTTCTAATTAACAAACGGATTACCAAGTTTGCATTTTCTTCCACGCTTTCACCTGTGATTAAGATCGCAGTGTTTAATATTAATTGCTTTTAATAGAAAATTGAATAAATTAAATTAAAAAAACATAATAAAATTTACCATTGACCCACACGCAAAATCTCAAGAAATCGAGATAGCGTTCACCCTCGACAGGATCCCAACCTAAATCAGGATAGCCCTTCTCCACTAATTCCGAATTGGACTGCAGGCCACATCGCGATAAATAGATAGCGATTTTCTCTAGATAATGTTCTCTTAGGGCCAAAGCTAATTCGGTGTTTTCCATCAATGACGAATATGCTACGTCTAATGGCGTTGATCCTCGTAACGACGGTCTTGCCAGGAGAATATTGCTGTTCTCCAACAGAAAGTCAAAGTGGTCAAACATGGCTTTCTGATTCTGTCTGGATGTACGACAGAAATAGCATAAGAATCTGCAACAAGCCACGACCATCTCGTGAGAGGTGTCCTTCTCCTTTGATGCTGGCTCACCTTCCGCCGCTTGAGTCTGAGTTTGAGCGTCAGACTGTGCCTGAGCACGTCTTCCTAGGGTATTCATCATAATGGCCATAACGTTTTCATGAATTCTCAGCACTCTAATGAGATCGGGATGTTGAAAAAAAGTATGATTGTTCACCAGCTTCCACAGTCGCTCTCGAACTAGCGCTTCTTCCTCCTGAGACATTTGTACTGGTAGCAAGGCACGAATTTGACTCAAACCAACCCACATTAATGCGACATCGTCCTTCGTTTTATTGTTAACAATGTAAGTTTTCTCTAAGGCTCTGATCAACTCGCCGACGGTATCGTATTGCCTGACTAATAAGCTGAACATCTCTCGTACAAGTTTCGGTGTCTCGATTTGCGATTCTTCAGCCCAATTCACAATGGTTGATATTAACACCTTGCGAAATACCTCTATAAAAAAGTCAGACAAATATTATTATTTATAAATATTTTTACGTAATATATAATACATTTATTATAACTACATGCAGAAAAGTTACCGAGAAATTAGAAATTTTGAGCAAAAAACCTAGTAAGAACCAGCTTTATTTTGAAATAAAAAAATTTTCTGTTTTTTTAATTTCTACTATTAATAATTATATAAAATAAATAAAAATCTTACCTTCCGGAGTTTTTTTCTCAGGCTCGGCTTCAGGTTTAGATTCCTCCTCGAGTTCTTTAACAGCATTGATAAAATTAAAGAGACGTTTCATAGCCCCAGGTTTCTGAATTTCTTCGGCTGGTTCGTTTGCGGCATTAGCTGCTTCTTGAAGAGCGGTCAAGGATACATAAGACATTAATTCACTGTGGAACTCGTTCATCTTGACGATGAGATCCTCGCCGCAGGGACTGTCTGGATCTTCCTCCAAATCTAAATTCTTGAAGCTTAGAATAGCATTCATTTGTTCGCGTGGAGGACATCTGAATTCTCTGGTCTTTTTAGCAGCGACAGCCGATGGTAAATCTGATTGTTTGATCTCGATATAACGTCGCAATTGATCTGCCTGCAATTCTCCAACGAAATCGTAAGCAAAGGCGATAATGGACTCGACGCGATGGCGCAATTGGATGTCATTTAAATGATGAAGTAGATAGCACATTTGTAATTTCGCTCCTTCGGCCATTTTCATATGCAGCAAGCCTTTCTTGTGCTCGTCTTTTCCTTCTATAATGTTTTAATGACATTGTATTGAGTTATCTTTCTCTGAATTATTTCCTATTTATTAATATTTAATGCTATTTTTCTTTCAATGCTATTTTTCTTTCAACTTACCTTTATCGAAAGACGGGTCCCAGGTTTCAGGATTTATCATGATGAGTAACTTAAATATATCCTCGTTTCTTAGCATGCCAACTAAGAGCAATCTATCTACCAGCTTCAGAAGAGGTCTGTAATTTTCAAAATTGTATCAGAATATCGTATATCATATATGACTATCAGGTGAAATGTTGTAAGCGAGAAGCAAGAATTTGAAAAGTCCTATTCAAAGAAGAAAGAGAAACAAGCTCGCATATTTTGTTTTTCGCTTAAATATTTGAAAATGAATACGACGATTATCGTTGCCCCGGTAGTATTGACGAAGAATTAATTGCAGCGGCAGCGGCAGCAGCAGCAGCAGCAGCAGCACTTATTATCTTACATACAGGAAAAGATTCTCGTTGCTGCCTCCGATTGGATCTCGGTTGTGCACCTGATTCACTTCGACGGCTTCGTTGAGCGCCATCATCACGTAATCCCGCACAACGTCAAGTGGAAAATGTGGGCTATATAGGTTTTTTATGTTCTCGATCGCTTGGTCACTGGAAGGAACATTCCTTGATGGCAATTGATTAGTAAAGGATCTCACATCTACTTGGGACAAAATTTTACTTACCTGATCTCTGTCATTTTCATTTGTGGTCGGATAGACTCAGTCTCCAAGTACCTGAGACTGTGTTTCATCTCGTAGTTCTCGTACAAATCCTTTAATTCTTGGCCTATGTAATAGACAAATAATTACTACACAGAGATTCATACAAAATATCTTATGGGTAAAATAAAAAGTTTTTTATTAAATTTTTAATTAACGAGAGATTAAGAAAAATATTTTTATATTTATATTAATTTATAATTATTAATTTATATTTCTCTCTCTATATTTTTTAAATAAATTCTTAAAATATAGCAATTAAATATACAAGATATAATCAAAGAATATATATATATTCAAAATTGTTTTGAAAATTTTAAATTTTAAATTTTAATGTTTGATATACGCACATAATTTTCTATTATTAAAAATCAAATTCTTACCAAGCGGTATTATGTATTCGTTTTTGCACACTTCCATCGTCGTCGCGTGTGACTCGAGATGTAGGGCGATAAGTAAGTCGTAAAATCCTTGTCGCAGAGGCCCGGACATGTATTCGGCTCGTATCGCGTATAACAATTGTTTCTGGTCAACGTGTTGGCACAGAGCGTGCGCCGCACGATAATTCGATTGATAGCACAGAGCTGCATATAGTGTCAATGTGTGCGCATGGAAACTGTGCAAAAGAAGTACATTGTTTTAATCGCAGACTTCTATAAGTTCATATAAGTCTGTGGTATATAAGAGAGAATATATAAGAGAAATATATAAGAGAGAAAGTTTAGCTAAAGGGAAAAATATTTTTTTTAATTTCTTGTTAATATCTTACCTGAGCAACTTATCCATCTCGATAAGCTCCAAAATATCAATACATCTATCTTCCTCGGGTATATGAAGAGCCAGCATTGAGATAGCGTCCTCGCATAGCATTGACCAGCCTCTGATGTCAGACAGCTTCAAGGCGTGTACTTGAAGAGACTGATTTGGCACTCTGGCCCATTGGTGCGGTTTGAGACATTGCACTTTTAATCTTGGCGGAAATTGCGGTATCACGTGTCGTTCAGAATTCTGCAGTACAGCTGCCGATAGTGGAAGTGTTGTCGAGGTCCTGCCGAGTTCGATCTGTAGAATCTCTTTGCTGGTGGCTTCAACGAAGATCGCTGGGAACAGTTTCGTGTCTGGCTCCATCTTGAATTTGTGACTCGTTTCTTTCCCTTCACAAGTGAAGGATACCCAGCCTGTGGCAGTATCAACAAAGCATCCAACAAACATACCCTGAGATGCGCCTTTGCCCGATGCATCTTGAGTGACTTCGTTGTACAGTTCATCCGCTCGAACCATATAACAACTTTGTCTGTCGACTCTGCAATGTTGTAACATTGTTTTTTAAATGAGCACCATTATAATTATATTTCTAACAAAAATTCTGTAATAAGAAATATATTAACGTACTGCTCTACAAGACGATCGTAATCATCTATAATCGCAACGGAAGCTTTCCTCACGCGGGATAAATTGAAGTCCTTCGTGTGCAGATGATATTGCGAAGTAACCCAGCCAATGTAAACGTGAGTCGGATCTTGACCGGGGAATATCCTAACGCCATAGAAATACTCATTCATTAACTTCATGCACTCAGCGTCGAAGATTTCATTGCCGATCGCTTCGACGCCACTTCCAGTTAAAACAGACATCGCCTTGGGAACGTTACGTTCTGGGATTTGTGGTGGGATGACTTTTAAATCCGTCTATAAAGAGAAATTGTAGATATTACGAAAACTGCTAGTTTAAACGTGATCTGAACGTTGTCCTTGTAGATATTATAAAATTCTTAATATTCTCAAAAGTTGCAAATTGTCTGCGGAATTTATAAAAAAAAATTTCTTCAGATTTTCGTGAAGTTATAGAAAATATCTTCAAATACTATTTATTCAAATATATTTTTATTTATATACACTTACAGTTGAGACACGAATTTGGGGAGTTTTGGCACTTTTGCTTCCGAGCGTTTTTGTACTTTTATCTGAGATATCTGCGCGTATTTGCGGCTCAGGCGTTTTTGACTTTGTCTCCGGTGATTTCGTTTTACGCGAGAAGAACCTGTGCACACGATAAGAATCAATTAAATAATTTATTAAAAACAAAAAAATAAAATTTTAATAACAAAATAAAATAAAACCAATATTGTTCAATTAATTATTGAGATATCGAACATTGAATTAAAAATATTAATGATTATATTTTATAATAGCGTTGGAAAAAAAACTTAAAAAACTTACGGTGCATCCTCCATTTCTTTGCTAAGCTTGCTAACAAAGTCAAAGTATCGAAGTCAATTTGTTTTTTACAACAGTCACTACAGACAATAGTTATTAATTAATATAATTCATAAACTTACCGAAAAGGTGAGCGACCGCGTTTCTTCTTCTCGTCCTTTATGTCACCATTCATTTCGCCATATCCATTCATTTCAGCGTCACTGATCGCGTTATCTAAACGTGATCCATAAAATGAACTTTTCCTGGGCGGTCTGGCAGGCTTACCTCTTTGCATAGGAAGCGGTGATTCTTTCATCATCTCGTCCGCTTCAGCTGCATCTTCCGAATAATTTCTTTGCAGTCCTATTCAGTAATATTTGTATTAAATTTTTTGCATAATCTTATAATCGGTATATCATTACTAAATAACTGCAACATTATTGCTAAATTGAATAGTTTTATTAAAAACCAATCAATCTTTTCATCAATCAATTTATCTAAAATTTTTTTTTAAATTACAACTTATGAATAAATTTAAAAAGATTTCTCAAATATAAGTCAAATATATAAAGTTCTTATATTTGATATATTTTTGAAGCCACGAACTATTTTTATTTTAATTAAACATTTTTTATGTATTATATATATTTCGAATATAAATCACAAACCATATTTTTAAATTAATGATTTCTTATACGTAATTACCTTTGATATCGCTCATACTGAAGCCGGATTTCATAATCTGTTCTAAATGACCTGACGGTGCTGCCTGCTGCCCTTGCTCAATTTGCTCGGCTAAAAGTCTGTTCTGTCGCGTTTTAATGTCCTGCCATCTGCGCAACTTCTCACCCTCTGTTATGAAACTAGATTGGCAAATTACAGGTAATGATAATCGTAGAAATTCCCAATTAGCCTTCTCCATGGTTTCGAACGTGTTGTGAGAGATTTTCATACATGGCGGTGTGTCGGAACCAGCTGGAATCCTAGCCACGTCGATTCGCGTGTCGGCCATGTCGTCGGTGTTCTCAAAAATGGGTTGATCTTTCGTGTACCAATACGTAACTAAACGATTCATGTTCCTGAAAAAATTAATAAACGATATTAATTTTTTTTCTGTCACTTGCTGTATTTCATTTTAATAAAGAAAACTTACACACAGAATGGTTCATAGCCCTCCTGCAAACCACAAGTAGTAAAAAATTTCAGGGTGTTTACATCTTGGCCGAATGTTAATCTTGCCTTTTGTCCAACGCCAAGGGTAAACGCAGGCACGAAAGAGTCGCCTTGCACATCGGCGAAAGAAGTTTCACCGCCAAGTGCATCCATTAGCAGTTCTCCATTTAAGGAGAAACCTATAACGTAATTCGCATTCGTAATTCGATTTGTATTGCGATATACATTGAGCATTGTGAAAAGTCGAAACGAACAATATAATTCAGAAAATTGTACAAAATAAAGTAACAATAATAATTATCAAGTGATATATCTTTTACTCAATAATTTTAATTGTCAAACATTCGTTTCGGCTTATTAGAAAAAAAACAGAAATCTAATTAGGCGATAAATAATTATTCAATTCGTAAATATCGAATGTTATGACATATAAAACGCAAGCTCTTACAATTTGTATAAAAAAATAATCGTACTAGGAATTTTAATAAGATTATAAGATCTTAACGGCTTGAAACACTTTGTAAATACAAATTATAGCAAAGCAAGTGTTAAAGGCCGCATGAAAAGCATCTGCTTTCCATTGAATAAAAATATTAAAATATTTCAAAATTCGAAGATGAAGCATTCATTTTATCGTTACTCATACGACCCATTAACACAAAATCAAACGAAATATGCATGCAAGCGGCGTTATTTGAAAGTGATGTACTAAAAATCAAACATGTGCAATATTATCATACACAGACGAGAGAGATGCACTAAGTAATAACTCTTATAATAAAAAAATAACAAAATGTAAATACATAGAGATAAAAAAATAAATAGTTTAACAATTCATAAACAGGACAATGAGAGATCTTCAATATTTTTTATTCGATAGTTTAACCCATACACGTTCACGTGCAGTATTCGGCAATAGTTTATAATTAATAGTTTAGAAAATATCATATTTAGAGAAAGATAAATAGCTTAAAAAGACAAAGAGACTATGACATTTTTGAAAAAGTTTTATCGTGTGTTTTTGTGTTCGTAAAACAATTGTATATTCGGAGATTACTGTTTCAGAATGCACATGATATGATCGATATATATAATAATATCTGGGGTCACCTTAGTGTTAGTGATTAGTAGGTATGAATTAGAAGCACTGTTGTCGCTGACAGTATAAACACTGAGTAGAGTACTGGATACCGGAGAAGACATTGGGCAGATTATGATTTTCATCGCTTGAGAGAATGCGGTATTATTAATGATGATAGAAACCAGGACTGTTTCTGGTTTTGTGGTTAACCCCATAAAGAAGTGTGTTAAAATAACAAGATGAAATAATTTTGTGTGAAAAATGCATGGTTTCCTCAGTTAAAATTTAAGTAACCGTCACAACGGAGTTTTTTTTTATCAAGAAAGCATTAATGGAATGACTCTTCCTCGAAGTGCATGGCGCGAAAATTTTGCCTAATAAATGTAATAAATGTTCTATTTGAACATCAAATGATTCTAAAATTACATTGTGTTCTGCAAATTAAATATTATTTTAATTTTATTGATTATTCGTTCAATTTTTTACGCTGTTATATTTTTGTTTTCAATACAATTTGCATAATATCTACTCGTTTAATATTATATTAAAGATCTAATATTATATAGAAATTTAATATTATGTATTAAAGAACTATCTAACGCGAATAACTATGCACAGCAAAACGGTTCGTGTTAAAAATCGCAATGTCTGTATCCAGTAATCTATCACCAGAGATCAAATCGTATGTGTATAGCTTGAGATATGGCAGCTAAAGCGTTCGCTTAAAAATTCCGTCTTACTAATCGTTCGGTCAATTAGATCCAGGAAAACACCGACAACATCTCCGACCTGCCATTGTTTGCCGAACGTTTCGGCCGTGCCCGAGTATACTTTTTCCTCCTTTAAAACAGAATAGTTCACCAGTTCAAGGTTACTTTCGCTCGTGAAGATCAGGACAGACCAGTAATCCAACCGCTCTATTTTTGTCCGCGGTCTTAAAACACCTTGTACACATTTATCTTCTCTATTGCTATTAATATCGCTCTCGATGTCATTTATACTCATGCGATATTAAAGGTTCGGCATAATATATAGTTAAGTAAGATATCTCGAGGAAATTACGCGGTTTTTTCCTCCCTCGATATCGATCAAGCCACACTTCGCCGAATGAAATATTACCAGCGATTTTATTTGTCTTGGGACAAGGATGTAAGATATAAAACCAAAGTCAACATGAAAAGAAACATATAGAGCGAGACAAAGACAATAGTAGTGACGAGAAAACTCAGAAAAAGAAAAGATGTGTATACGTATATGGGGCCTCTAAGATCGGCTAATTTGGAAAATAGGACTCTTACTGATCGTTCGGTCTGCCACGTCAATGAAACATCCAACTATGTCGCCCACTTGATATTTGTGACCAAATGACTCGTGGGTGCCAGCGTGCACTTTAGTCACCTGACATTCATGTTCTTATGAATTATTCATGTTTCAGAGATCGCAATAAGAGCCATATAGCGCTTAATATTTAATTAATTAATGTTTAATAATTAATTAATATTTGCATTCTTACAACATAAGAATTTCTGTGATTGCGCGCAACTTCCTTGATTAATATTTTCATAAAAATAAATTAAACATGAACTTTAAATTAGTAAAAAAAATGAACTTTAAAGTCTATATAAAATTCTCACCTTTCGTGATTACAATATATTTAAAATTACGGAAAATATTGCATAGCTTTTTAATAAAAGGTGAAGCAAATTTGAATTTAATTTGCACAAAGATATTTTTATTTAATTTGTTCATTTTATTTATTCATTACTTAATTCGAAATAAAAATCTAATATTTAAAAAAAATGCCGAATTATCCTAACGATTGGAAAAATTGTTTCATCAAATTTCAATGAATATTGTCGTTCTAATTTTGAATGTTAAATTATGAAAAGAGAAATTATCAACACTTACGTTATAACCATCAAATGCCCAAGTATTTTCATCACTGCCTAGCATACTTCCTGGCATACAATCGGCTTTCGCCCAACCGACTCGCATAGGTCCAGCTGTGAGAACTTCGAACTCGAAATACCATTTTCCGCTGCTGACTGCATAATGTTTCTCAACCCTGTAAGTCCTGAAGGATAATTGTCGTAATCTGCTTGCCTCCAAAAGCAATGCTAAAAATATCAGAAAATAAATATTAATATTATATTAATATATATAATACATATAATCTATCAAAATCTTAAAAAAAATTTCTAAATCTCTAAAAATTCTAAAAGATAATCGCTATTTGAATTTAATACACACAATTAAAGTTTTACGAATCAAATACAAATTAAAATTTAGGACTTTAGGAGAACGAAAATAATTTTTATTTATATGTAATTAATTATTACAAATTGTAATTAATATTAAATTAATAGCAGTAATGTTTTATATATGTATATACATATACATATGTTTCATAAATACTTGAAAAAAAACATACAGTGTTATCTTTGATGAAATAAACTTGATTTGTTTTTTTTAAATAAACGAGTACATTTAGCCAGGATTAAAATTCTCACCTTCATGCTGTTCTCCAGTGGGTGGATCGAGCATGTATCCGTAAACCAAGAGAGTCCTGACGGTTTCGCTGGCTGTATCTCGATTGGCTTTTTTGATAGCTTCATCGACTTTTGGATACGGTACCAAGTGAGGACTTCTTCTCATTTCCGAATCCTCATTCAATCCGTATGTCCATCCTTGACTGATTCTTTCCTTTGCCCAAAGATTATGCGTGTTCTCTGCTAATTGATCTACGAGTTCCTCCATTTTGGGAGTCAACGTGATCGCAGATAGATCAAGAGGAGCTGGTTTATATCCACTACTTTGCAAAAATGGTTCATTTGGCAGCCTCAAAGTTTTTATTCTAGATGGAGGCTTATCCATGGTGATGTAATATCCCAGTGCCAAAATGGTCTTCAGAGTCTGCACAGCCAATTGAGTATCATAGCGCTTTTCCGCGGCTGGTAGTCGCTCGAATTGTACTATACAAGGGTGTATCTTTCTGAGATCATCCCTGACCTCGCCGAAGATCCAACCGGCTTCGATTTTATTCATCGCCCACATCTCGTGGATGTTTTCCGCCAATTTATCTCTAATCTGCTCGACATAGGCAGGAAGGTTGACCATGGAAGTATCGACCGGAGCTGGAACGAAGGCAGTGTCGTCCTCGACCAGCCATGGACCCGCCAGAACCACCTTATTCATGTTACCAAAATAGAAACATGGGTCCAGTGACAGAATTTGTTGCGGTAGCAGGCTTTCCACCAGCGGCGAAAATTCTTCCGGTGGTTGGAACTTTAATCGACCGTGATCACCACCCAACAAAAATCTACAGGAGAGTTTAGACGAGCAACTGATAGCAGGGAAGAACATGCCATCTAGATTAAAGTTCCGAAAAGAACCCATAATGTGAGTGCCATTGAAAGTAAACGTTATCACCGGCACCGTTAGATCCAAAGCGCAACCGATCACATCGCTTTTTCGTATGTAAGGCTCGGTGGCACTTTGAACTACTTGTGTCTTTCTACCGCCGGTCCATAGATAAGCGCCATCGAATCCGAACGAATACAAATCATCACCTACGCCGTTTCCACCCCACTTTTCACCACCACCGGGATACGGCATATAACTGCGAGGAAAAAATTTTGTTAAATTTTTTTTAATTTTTTTAAATTTTTTGATACGAAACTTAAAACTTAATTAATTACTAAAGATATATGATTATCACTTTAAGAAATTATAGCCAAAATACACGGAAAGAACGATTTCACTGAAATATTTAAAAATTTAGATAGATACAGATATGAAAATATTTGTGTTGGATTATTAAAATAATTACGTAGAAAACTCAAATACGGCTGATAAATACGGCTATAAAAAATGTTAACATTTTAATTATCAGCTTGAATATACCTTATATAATTATTTTGATGATTTTAACAAAATTATTTTCAGATCTATAGTTAAATTTTTAGATACTTTAATAAAACCGTTTTTTCATTTCATGTATTTTACATTATAAATGAGAATTTAAAAAATATAATCTAACTTAATTTACCCGGCGGTGTTCGCCCATCCGATTCGCAAGTGCGGCATCATGTGAGTCGTCTGTTCAATGTGATCCACTGTCACCTCGAAATACCATTTTTGATAAAGAGCCGAGCCCTCAACTCTGCCGACAAATATATTCGGTCTAATGCTTGCCACATGATCTACTAGTTGCGTTTGGAGGAGCAAATTTTTTCCAGGCAGCAGAAAATCACAAATGTTATTTTGTGAAGAGCGTACCGCGACACCATTACCGACGCATAGCGAACATAAGACGTCCAGAACTTTCGGATCTCTACCGTGTTTCTCCAGCAAAGAAATAATTACTTTTATATGCTCATCCTAAAAAAATTAGATTCATTTTATATAAATTTTTATTAGATTTAACTTATTCTATAAAAGCTTTATTTGTAAGAATATTATTGTTTGTCAAATAGCTAATCTACATTGCAAAAGCAATTTACCCTCATCATATTTAAAGCCTCCGGCGAATCAATCAGAACACAATGAAGTACATCCAACATTCCAGTTCCCTCACTGGAAGCCTGCGAACCCAATCGGCTAAACAGCCAATTCAAACGATTACTATTGGCGAACTGAGCGCAGTTGGTGTGATTTCCTTTGATAATGGCTGCCAGTAGTTGATAAAGATACCCGGATATCTGATCCCAAGCCTGACCGCTCTCATCGCCGGAAAGAGCGACGAGAAATCCTTGCGAAGTAATTACGTTAATCTTGTCAATAGCTTCGAGGATCAGATTTAATATACCCTCCTCTTGGAACAAATCCTGACGATTTCTGAGAGCTCGGAACTTATTCTGTTTCTCTTCGTGTTCTGAAAGAATCTATTGTTAGCAAAAAAATATGAAGAGAGAGAGAGAGAGAGAGAGAGAGAGAGAGAGAGAGAGAGAGAGAGAGAGAGATAGACTAAGAAAAAAAGAAAGATCTAAAAATTATAATATTATGTAAGATTATCTTCTTACCCATGTCGTCCTCGGGTTGAGCAAAGTAATTGATCAAGTCTTCAAGACACATTACCATTTCATTAAGATTTACGTTTTGAAAAAACATGGACGCTCTTCTATTCACTTGCAGCGTTTCTAGGCCTCTAAAACGTATTCGGTATTTTTAGTAAACTCCTATCCCGTTTTCTCTCTACTTGATATCCGATATTTTTTATCTGTCTTTCATACTTCTATATATAGTACATAATTTTCTTTTATCTCTTTTTACATTTTAAAAATATTTAACTACAAAAAATTTAAACTATAATACAAAAACTTACGTGATGAATTGAGTAAATAAGCTACTGCACTTTCTAATGACACGAGCAGTGCGAGATTCTTCTTCCTGTGATCTGGAAAAATCCAAACCATCGTCCATCTTACCCTCTTCATGAAGTACTGCCTGTTTCTCTTCAACTTTTCCGACGCCCTTCTTTTTTGTTTCGTATGACTAAAACAATATCGCGATAAGTCTCGTGAGAATTACTATCGTAACTTTTATTACAAGTAATTATTTAATTATTTTTGATATTTAGTTTTAGAAGAAATTTAGAAAAATTAATTTTTTTATTTACTTTATAGGACACCCAGAGGCACGTGGTAGCATGTTGCATAATCACGGTAGAATCACCATACTTTATAATTGGCATTCCGATAATCTCCAGATCTTTGTCCTCAAGAATAATCTTTTGATCATCCTTCTCTTGCCGCAGCCAGAACGTCGAGGTTTCAATTGTCGCCTCATTCCTTGGAAAAAAAATCGGAATTTCGGAAACATTATCATGATCCTCTAAGAATTGCCATGACCCTTGAACTTTTCTAAAAATAAATATTAACCTATCGACGAGATAGAGCTCGTTGTTCTCCTTCACACCAAGATAACGTCCAGTTGTCAAGTGTCTGATCCGCATGGGATGTAACCAGTTGATGAAGCCGCCCGCCCATTTTGTTCTGGCGAGCTCTAATCTCCATAACGATCTCGCTTGGCTCATCACGCTACCGCCCTCGTAGATTACGAGGCTGTAAAACCACGAAGAAAATATCTGTAAAATGATTATTTCTATCCTCTCTCCTATTTTCAAAATAACGATAATTTTTTTTATAATTTTACGCTCTTGTAATTATAAAAGAGATTATTTTATCCCTCTAAAAGAGCTTACTTTTGACTGGGTGCTGGACTCCATGTCGACGGTATCGTCAAACACTCGTCGCCTCCGTGGAAGAATCTCAACACATCACCGCCGAAGACATAACCGACGTACTTCATTCTACTAATACCGGTTCCATATGGCTGCACCGACCAATGCGTCACGTGAAAAGATGCGTTCACCACTGACAGGTCATTTTCTTTCGTCGTGTGCTGAAACGAGAGAGATATGAATTCTTTTTCTATTTCACAAGAAATCTTTGGAAATATTATAATCTTTTGTCAAACTTACCAAATATCGTTCGGTCGCAACAGATACCAGAATAAGATCGTCACCCACACGTACCTTCTCACCCTCGGATCTCTGCTTGGAGGCGGGGTGTACAGTCCACCAACATGCCTCACCTTTGAGAATAAAACTTTAAGAAATTTCGAACGATCACGAGGTTCCATTCATACTTCTCGACCCGTCAAAAATTTACCAGCATACAACTTTAAACTTCAATTTTGTTTCAATTCTGTCAAAAGTTATAATTTCATTTAAGAAGTAATTATTTATGAATGTTTAACAAAACGATATATTATGCCAATGCCAGAATAGAAAGAAATAACGTTAACGTCGATAAAAGAATTTATTGAGAGTTGAAGCGTAATTGCGCTGCACCGACCATGAGAATGTTCCTGTAGACCGACGTCGAAGGCTAGCTTATCGTTCGACGAACTCGTGGATAAACACGCCAGGTACTGCAATATCACGATCATAGATTTACGTAACCATGAAAAATTAATGTGGCATAACAGCGTTATTATAAAGAAAAATAATTTACCATGTCGCTGTTTAGATGTCGCAATAATATGGCGTTACCATATAACAAGGTCCTGTGCCCTGACCCAGTGCCCTTTCCCTGGAAGCATCAAAGGATTGGTCAAAGCCCTTGCAACTCCTCATGCTAATGTTCCTCTCCATATATCGTACGAGATTTTAATAGTTCGCAAAATAACAGTTTCTTAGACAACTTCTACAAGCGTACTGATAAGAGAAGGCCATAAGTGCTGGTCAGGCTACGATGCGAAGCTTACGAGGCGTAAATTGAAGACACAGCACTAAACGCGTTTTTGAATGTAGATGTTAATACAACATTATGCAGTCAAACGAAACAAAACAGTTACTGTTATTAATCCCAATATATTCGTTATATTAATGTTAACTGTAGTTCTCAGACATGATAGCTTAATTGATCGATGGGTGAAATAACATCTCGGTATTTGGTGAAAAAAAATTCATAGACCTTGTCTTTTAGGAAAAATTAAATATTATTACATAATTCTATAAAAAGTAAATTATTATTAAAATTCTATATTAAATAATAATTCTATAAAATTCTATTATGTAAATGTCAAAAATCAAAACAATACAGCTATTTATCTTAAAATTGTAAATTAGATTTTAAAAAATTATTACTATTTAATTTATAAGTCTATATTTTTACATTGTATAAATGCAACATAATGCAATATGGAATCACGTTTAAGTGGCGCTAAATAGAGACATGAATATAGACTATCGTATTTCGAAATTTGGCTGAAGCCTTTGCCATGAAATGAACGTACTTATCTACACTTGTATCTTCACCCAAACTCGATCATTACGATGTTCTAACACACAAACAAATGATCATTTTACCCAAGAGCACGTTACGGCGCCCCGCAGACGGTACGAAAATTATACTTACTAAACTGTCTTGTTGCTGCAAAGAAAAATATAAAAGGTAATGAATCTCGTTCGTCAAGTGTCGAATTTGTTGTAAAGAAAAAGGGAAATAAAATAATACATTTGCGATTATTTATGATAATGGATCTCGATTAAATTTTTAGATGATGTTCTATTCTTTCTACAATGCTGGCATGTTTTGAGCGACAAAATCACAGATAGAAACCATCAACAGAGAATGATAAAATATGAAATTGATGAAATTATATGTGAAATCTTTTTACACGATTATGAACACATGCCACGATCATTCGGATAA